GTGCTGTTTGAGGTTCTTTTTCATCATTAGGTAGCTACAAAGCAAAGTAGAGTTGCAGTTTTAATTTTTCTGCCAATTTATGGTACCTTTTAGGCTTATTTGGTGCTGGAGCTTTATCTTCCCTGACAAGAAAAGAGATACTGAAGTGTGTGATTAATGAGTTAAGCCACCATGGGCGGACCGCTTTAGGTACTGATACGGCATGTTGTTTAAGAATCTCAATCCAAACCACCACATAACCCTATGAACTGTGCTTTGTCTTGCTTTGCATTTTTGGTTTCTGGACTCCTGTTATTGTCTTACAGGTTGGTCTTGTTTAATATTCTAGAAATAGTAAATTATTTTTTGGAATCTTTCTCTTCCTCCAAATAAAGAAATGCGCTGGAGCAACACTAATTTAAATCTTTGTTAGCGCATCTGGTAATAACTTTGATGATAAATCTTGCTAATGGACATAAAATCTTAAATTATCATCTTTTTAGGAAATTGTATTTCCCTTAAGCAGGTGTTTCCTTTTGACTTTGTAACTCCTCTAAATCCTCATGGATAGTTACTTGATGTTATGGTCTCAACTCTCATGGGATGCTGCTGTTATATATATATATATATATATATATATATATATATGAATGATTTAGTTAGATGAGCTTGTAAATATAGTAGATGCATAGAAATTGTTCTCTTGTGCTGTTGTTAAGGGGGTTTTGGCTATATTTGTCTCTGAAACAGGCTGATGCTGTGTTGCATCTAAGTGGATGTGCATGACAAGGAGAGGAAGGAGCTGAATGTGCTTCTCTCACTCCGATGAAGCTCTGGCAAATATTCCTTTCCTCCTTTTGGGTAACAAGATTGACATTCCATATGCAGAATCCGAAGAAGAGTTGTGCTTCCCATCTAGGCCTGAGCAAGTTCACAACCGGAAGGGGAAAGGTCAACCTTGTGGATTGTAATGTACACCCCCTCGAAGTCTTCCTGTTCAGTATCATGCGTAAGAATGGCTCAGGTGATCGCTTCAAGTGGCGTTCACAGTACATTAAGTTGGATGCTATACGTGTGTTGCCTTTACTTGGCTTTCACAAACAGCAAACAACCTTGCAAGTTGTTTGTGAAGCATTTTGATCTCAATATTATGTTGGGTGGAGACCTGTTAATCCAGTGGATTATGGAAATTAAGAAATTTGCATCCGTAGTTTAGATTATGATAAGATCTTAATATTTTATCATAGAAGAAAGGGAAGAAAAAACAGATGATCACTTTGAGGGAATCGGTCTTCTAAGGTTTGTCAAAAGACTTAATAATATTTCATTGTCTATCGAAAAAAAATGATTATATTATTATTTATAGGGTTTCATTTAGAATCTAACTTGAACTCTTAATAATAATTAAATATTAAATAATTTTTTATTTGATTCTAATTGAATTAAATAGATTTTATAAATATTATTTAAAAACTCAAAAAATAAAAAGGATCTTAGTATATTATTGTTGGCACAGTATATATACGCATTATTTTCTCATATTGTTAGAAACCATGGTATTTGTTTGTATAAATATTTTTGTTCCCAACTTGATCTCCAACATCATTTACATCTGAAATGTCTCTTGAATGCATCTTCTTTCTATTTCAATTTATGGCCTTTAGTTCATTTCCTGAATATTTTTATATCAAAGTTTTGGCCTTCCATTGAAACTAAATAAAACATGATGAGTGGTACTGCTGTTTATGGTGTTCAGCTAGTGACTCTCATATTATGAACTTGACATTTCCATCTGGTTCATTGATGTTGTGAATGCAGAACAGAACATGATATGAAAGTGTGATCTGCAACACAAATTTCATACAAGAAGCCAGTAAGTCAAGTTGGTGTGATCTAAACAACTCGTACGCGTGGTTTAATGGCCGAGGTTTGAATGATCTAAGCTATCTCAATTTGGTGCAATCTCCTTCTAATACTCTTGTTGATAGTAAATATCAACCAAGGGTGTTTGGTCTAGTGGTATGATTCTCGCTTCGGGTGCGAGAGGTCGCGAGTTCGATTCTCGCAACACCCCTTCTTTGTCTCTTTTTTGCCGGACGTCGACGTTGATGTTCTTCGTATGCAGAGTTCACGTACTGGCCCTCTTAGCTCTTTTTCTTTTCTGTGTCGGTCTTCTTTCGAATCATCCATATCTCGGACACATGTCGTATACGTATCTTTGGATTCTGCAACTCATAGTCCAACATCTGCCACCGCTTGCTCCCCTTTCTCCTCTCAAGCAGCTCGACCATTCCATTATCCAAGCTGACGCTGCTGCTCCTCCTCCTCCTCCTCCTCCTCGCAACACGACAACCCAGCCCCATGTTCCTTCGTCTCTCCCTCCCCTTTACCTCCTCCATCTCAGTCGTTACGATGGTTGGTGATGACTGCTGGGACCAGATAGGTTGGATCGACCGCAGCTCGCTGCTTTCTTGTCATGTCTGAGAGCGCCCTTCTCTCAGAAAAAGAAGAGCGAGCAAAGCGGGTCAAGAAGATGTTGGGGACCGGCGAGGCTTTAGTGTCTCTCCGATGCCTGACACACAGCCACTATAGGCTGCGCAAAAGTGATGTTTCGTGTGACCTCAATTGCTGTGGTTCCTCGATAATTCATGGAATCCAAAGTCTTTAGCAGACAAGTAGGCCATTGCTAGATCAGGTCAAGTTGACCTGTAGATAGAGAAGACTGTAAGACTGTACACTGTCGATGATGGTGTGTGTGAGAAGCGACAAGGTTGGCTGCCATCTCCAACGAGCGTGCACTTGTCAACCATTGCTTTCTTCTTGGACCACTTGATACTGCACCCTCCACCTGCATGACAACCATGAAAGAGGAGAGGAGAGCACATGGTGATCCAAGAAAACTCCTCGGGAGCTGCAATACGCTTTAGAATCTCAAACTTGATGTTATCATCAGGCCGACGACTTTGCTCATGCGATTCTTTAGTCTTCAAGTTAGCATGTAGCCGTCGTCAAATAGTTTATGTCAAAAGGAAATATCTATCTATATATATATACAAGATGAAAGGGAACACCATACAATGGATGCAGATCATCCATTAGAACTTGGAATCTCTTAGAAAACACTTTGATCTTGAACCATAAAATGAACTACATCACAATAAATATTTTGTACCGTCGAAAATTTAAATCTTAAGAATGTGATATAAGAAAACTTGGATGAAAGGAAATGAACTAAAAAATATACTCATACTGCTAAAATTAAGATAGTTAAATGACACATAACGAATTTGATCCTCATTGATGTTATTCTTCAATCTTTCAGTACTTGAATCTCCAGCTTCGATTGCTGGTTGGAATCCACATGCTTATAGGTCTTCACTGAATCATGTCAAACATCCTTTTTACCTAATTTTCAACATGCTTTCATCTGTCGCCAACCAAAGAGCACTTTATCATCATAAGGGCCACTAAGTTCATCAACCACAGCTTAGATGGACCTACAGTTTGTTGTAAAAGAAGCTTCCTTTACCAAAGTTGTCTTTGCTAAGCACTTGGAATTATGGTCTCACTCATCCACTCTACCACAAGTACACATAAAAGATGGTCCATCAATTGGGTAAACATAGAATTACCATATGCAACATTGCAAATGATTCAAGAATCATACCATATTTTTCAGATTAATTTTGACACTAGCAATATATAAATGCTTGATAGAACTGATAGCAGATAAGATTTTCCTCCGAGAATAGTTTCAACAGAGTAGAGAGATTTTCTCATACAGTTAAGGAAATCTACTATCAAGAACTTTGAGTAGAAATAGAACATAAAATATTTATAAAAGTTAAAATAGTCTAACTTTTATAATCACTCAACAATTACTTTTAAAAATTAATAATTACTTCTTTTGATAGAACCTTATTTTGAACTAATCTAAGTTTCTAAAACCTTGTTAATGATCGATAATCGAATTATAAATATGCTATTGATTTTTTGATAGATATAATATATCATTAATTTCACCATCACAGTCTTTATTTTCTTACTTATCAATTAAGCTAGCCAATGTTATCCTTATTTCAAGTCCATTTTTATTATTTCCTTAACCATATCGACGCTTCATATAAAACCTATCGATCGAAATTTTGAACTCTTAATTTAAAAAAAATATATATTTAATACATCACTAGATGAATATTTAGATAATAAAATTTATAGAACGAAACTTTAACTATTCCACCTTAGTTAGGTGAGTCACCACAATATTTTCTACTAAACAATCTAAAAAATTATATATATATATATATATATTATTGAAAAGAAATATAACACAAGGGGGAATCAAGAAAGAATCTATGCTTCGCACTTCACTCTCCGACAACCAAAAGGCGGCCCGACACGTGTCTTCCTTCTCTCCATCTCCGTGCCGGCCGAGGCAGGTAGTTCCCGGGCCCCACCTAAGGGACCGAGTCGCGCTCCTCGTGCGGAGCCAGGGTGGTTCGGATAAAACCGAGCCTCACGTTTGAACTTGCCCGAACGTTGAAGTCAGTTGGGCTGGGGTGGGTGAAATCACGCGCATGGCACGTGACGAAAGCAACCAAACACCGCACGACTCGGCGAGTCGCGTCCTACGCGGTCTCCCACAAAGCGAGACACCAAAGCAAACCCCCAACAGACGTCGATGGATTCGACGTTGATGCGCTTCCCCACCCTTCTCTCTCCCCTTCATCTCAAGTCATCCATAATAAACCATGCCCGATGACGTCATCTTCCCTTCGATATCACGTCAAACACTACATCTTTCCCGCTTGGTTAGAGGAGGCTCTGCCACGTAGGCGGTGCGTGCCAAAAGGGTGCACGCCTATTGGGCACACGTCGTTCCGCCATCGGGACAACCGTTCTCGTTGGTGCAGCGAAATCGACGCATGGCACGATAATTAAAGCAAACGGGGAAGAATTGTGTGATCTACGCGTCCGTTCACCCTATTAATACACCCCACACACAGTCTGTCTTTCGCTTCATTTCATCCCAACCTGCGGCGAGGAAGGAGGGCTCGGAAAGGACCGAGGAGAAGAGAAAGGGAAATAGAGAAGGGACGCAAAGGTCTCCCTGTCGTCTCCCTTCTTCCCCCACCTCGAGGCCGAGGAGAGCAGGCTGAAGGAGACGCAGCAGCAGTCGCATTTGGGGTGTTGGCCGGGGGTGAAATCGGCGGGGAATTGGTGAATTCTCGAGGGCTCCACCCTGGGCTTTCTGTTCTTGGATTGGGGGCGGTCGTTGGCCGAGGGTAATGGCGTCGGATTCCTTGTCGGTGGTGGCGGAGGACGTGCTGAAGCCGCATGAGACACGGACGGGCGACATTGATCTGGCCTCTAGGAAGGAGGTGCAAGCAGGTGATTTGATTTACTGCCCATAATTTCTAGTGTATTTCCTCATAATCGATTCTTTATCGTCTTTTCGAATGTTCTGTCCTCGACACAGGCTAGAAAAAATGGCTTCTTTTTATTCCGATGATTCCTGGATGGTGCCGTCTTGATCATCATTCTCTTGGGGTTTCTTTATCGTCGATTTTTAGTTCTTCTGTTACACGTATTTCTTGTGTTGTATTAGTTGGAACGCAATAGAGAAATCGCGGTGGAGTTTATTGTTGGCTTTTGTTTATAAAGATCATTAGTCTGTTAGATTTCTCGATATTTTTATTCCCAAAGGTCAAAAGTATTGATTAGGATTGCTCGGAATCATGAATAGAAGTCTCTGGTTCTGTTTTGCTATGGCAGCGTTGAGAAGGTACGAGGCAGCCGAATGGCTGAGGAAGATGGTGGGGGTTAATGGGGCGAGAGATTTGCCGGAAGAGCCCACAGAGGAGGAATTCCGGCTTGGTCTGCGAAATGGGATTGTTCTTTGTAATGCACTCAACAAGGTTCAACCTGGTGCTGTCCCCAAGGTTAGCTTTTCTTGCAGGCACGCGCTGGATTCTTTCTTTCTTGTTTGATACCATTGCTTCAGTGTTGCATGATGTCATCTCTTGACTCTCATTCCAGGTGGTGGAAGCTCCTGCGGATTCGGCTCTCCTCCCAGACGGTGCTGCTCTGTCAGCATATCAGTACTTTGAGAATTTGAGGAACTTCCTCGTCTCCATGGAAGAGTTGGGCCTCCCAACATTTGAGGCGTCCGATTTAGAAGGGGTGCGGATTTTTTGTTTGTTTGATAAGCTCTTCTCAGTTTCTTTTTTCCTTTCATTTAAGTTATGAATTAGAAGTGGAAATCCTAAATTTCTGAGATTTAAAGTATCACTAATTTTAAATTTTTTTGACATGTTATCTTCTTCTTCTTCTTCCTTTTTCATGGGTTGGAGGGCAGGGTGGTAAAGGCTCCAGGGTTGTGAATTGTGTTTTGGCTCTTAAATCCTATGGTGAGAATAAACAAATGGGCAGAAATGGTTCCTGCAAGTATGGTGGGATTCTGAAGCCTTCCACCTCTGGCAAGTATTTTGTAAGGAGGAACTCAGAACCTTTCATGAATTCCCTTTCTAGAAGCCAATCAACTGAGAAAACCCAGGATGGCGTATCGGTGGAGCAGAACGTGGGTGTCAATTTCTCGATACAATCCACTGAAATGGTAGGTAAGCTGAATGTCATAATTTGTTGAATAAATCGGGTATCTGCATTAGCTAACACACCAGCATGATATTGTCCACAGACGACATCACAGTCTCTGAACATGCTTCTGCGTGCCATCCTATCAGATAAGAAGCCTGAAGAAGTCCCAGTGGTAAGTTAATTCGTTATGACAATTAACTGTATGTAGTGCGGATGAGGCTGGAATTGTTATTGCATTTATGCAGATTGTGGAGTCAATGTTAGGCAGAGTAATGCAAGAATTTGAGCGCCGAATTGCAAGCCAAAATGAGCAGGTAGGCCCTGGTACTTTTATTATTGACACGCTGCTCCATTCATCTGAACAGGACTGCTTATGTCCTTATCTTTCACATGATTTGTTATTCTGATTGTCACCTGTGACACAATCATCCAGCATGTTATCCTTCTGAAGCCTGCTTGATTTTCTTCCTTTTTATGCACCTTAATGTATATTATTTTTGCTACTGTTAAATTTTTTTAAACCGCTTCAAATGATACCGCAATGCTTGATAGGTGAAAACAACTACAAAGGATCTAACTGATGGAACAAAATCCTTCTGCAAAGCAAAACATTCAACAGAAATTTCATCCATTTGTTGTGAAAAAGAGGTACTAGACCCACACATTCTTATTAAAGTCACACTTATCAAATTTAAGTGGTTCCCATTAAACTCTTGTGATATATTAGTTTATGTGTGTTATAAGAAGATGACATATGATTCGTGGTTTATTCTCCTTCAGTACCTCATGATTTGTTTAAATGTCTCTCTAACACTGTACTGTGTTCTAGACGGCGAAGACAGAGAATTCTTTCCCAAGCTCAAAAGATGAGGATTTTAGTATGAGCTTGAAGGATGCAGAAACATCAAAAGAAAAGCTCCTGAAGCAACACTTACTTTTTGATAGACAAAAAAGAGAAATACAGGTATTCTCTTCTGATTTTTTTTAAGGATTTGCATGATGGTTGGGTTTATCAAGCTGTGATGATGGTGGTTGATGTTCTCTGTAGGAACTGAAAGGTGCACTTCAAACAACTAGAGCTGGTATGGAGTTGATGACAACTCAACATGCCCAGGAATTTAGTAATCTTGGTGAGATAGTTAAATGATCAGTTGGGGATGACAAGAAATTGTTAACCATGAGGAACTGTTAGACATACTCTGAAGGCCGTTGTTCTTGTCATTTTAGGGAAGCATATGCAAGTCCTTGCTCAAGCAGCTTCAGGATATCATAAAGTTCTCGAGGAAAACAGAAAGTTATACAATCAAGTGCAGGATCTTAAAGGTGATATTCTAGTTAATTATATGCAAAATTATTGCTTCCACTAATTTCTTTTGTTCACTATCAGGAAACATTAGGGTGTACTGCCGTGTGAGGCCTTTCTTACCTAGACAATCAAGTAGTATGAGCACTGTTGGTCATATTGACGATGGAAATATTATGATTATCACCCCTTCAAAATATGGGAAAGGACATAAGTCTTTCAGCTTCAACAAAGTCTTTGGCCCGTTTGCCACTCAAGGTGTTCAAGGCTCTATATTTGAGTACATTCAGAATTTTCTAACAAAGCAATGAACTAATCCCCTTTCATCAATGCAGAGGAGGTTTTCTCTGACACACAGCCTTTGATTCGTTCTGTTCTCGATGGTTACAATGTCTGCATCTTTGCATATGGACAAACTGGAGCAGGGAAAACCTATACAATGGTACATCATTGACATGAAAATTCATTTTGGAAAATTTAAATTCAGCTCACGATTATCTATCCGTGGAAACGAATCAAGACTTTTTTTAATTATTTGGTTCTTAATTTTTTTATGCAGAGTGGACCAAAAGAACTTACAGAAGAGAGTTTTGGAGTAAACTACAGAGCATTAAATGACTTGTTTCATATCTCAAAGCAGAGGAAGGAGACATTTTGTTATGAAATTGCTGTTCAGATGATTGAGATATATAATGAGCAAGTTAGGGATCTCCTTACCAATGATGGTCCCCAGAAAAGATATCCTTTTGTGAAGATCTTGCTCTTATTATTCTTCAGTTCTTTTTAGTTGTTTGTTCTATTCTGTTTTATATATTTCGAGTACCTTTACTCGTCAATACATTAGATGATCTTGCTCGTATTATTCTTCAGTTCTTTTTAGTTTTTTGTTCTATTTTGTTTTATATATTTTGAGTACCTTTACTCGTCAATACATTAGATATTCATAATAGTTCTCAGAAAGGACTTGCTGTGCCTAACGCAAACTTGGTTCCTGTCACATCAACAACAGAGGTTATTGAATTAATGAACATTGGTCAGAAGAATCGTGCTGTTAGTGCAACTGCGATGAATGACCGTAGCAGTCGTTCTCACAGGTCTGGTTACGTTTTGAATGGTTGTGTTTTGGCTTTCAACATGTCAGGCTAATGGATTTTTGTTTGCAGTTGCCTGACCATTCATGTTCAAGGAAGAGATTTGGCATCTGGGGCTGTTCTTAGAGGCTGTATGCATCTAGTTGATTTGGCAGGTAGTGAGAGAGTCAATAAATCTGAAGCTAAAGGAGACAGGCTAAAGGAAGCACAACATATCAACAAATCGCTATCAGCTTTAGGAGATGTAATATCTGCCCTTGCTCAAAAGAGTTCACATATCCCTTACAGGAATAGCAAACTTACACAACTACTACAAGACTCTCTAGGTAAGAATTAAACACAATTGACCGAGTTCTACATGCACTTTATCTCTCCATGAGTCATTGTATGTTATTCTCATTTTTCTCAGGAGGGCAAGCTAAAACATTGATGTTTGTCCACATAAGCCCTGAGGCAGATGCAATAAGTGAGACTCTAAGCACGCTCAAATTTGCTGAACGGGTTGCATCGGTTGAGCTTGGCGCAGCTCAGGTAAACAAAGAAAGTGGGGAAGTCAAGGAGCTCAGGCAGCAGGTGCTATTTCCCTTTATTCTTGAGTTGCTGTTCTTTCTAACTTCACATGTGACTTGCTTTCCTTCCTGATTATCTCAATAGGATGACCATGTTTCATTCTGCTTTAGGTAGCTAGTCTTAAAGCAGCATTAGCTAAGAAAGAGGGTGAGCAGATCCAAAGCACAATGTCTAGTCCTGATATATACAGGCTAAAATCTGGTGCAACATCTCCTGCACATCCAAACCAGATGCAGACGATGGAGGATTTTGGCAACATAGAGGTAGAGATACCTTCTTTATATTATTTCTAATAGGAAGTTTATCGGTGTCCCTTGTGCTACATATTCAGAAATGATTTCTTAGCATGCAAATATATAGATTTGCATTCGGGTAATGATTTTGTCAGGTTACATATTTGATTTCCCAACTCTTGTTTCTTAACATTTTAGGTGCTCAGCTGTTCAGCAATGATGCAGGAAAGGGTAGAGATTGATCTCCAAGACCTTTTAAGAGCATCTGATTCTTCTCCTTGGCCAGAGGACTCCCTCAGGGGCTGGGAAGGAGATAACCTGCATATGCCAGACTCATTTTACCAGGGATATGTTCCCGATGTGATGAGAGTCTACGGGGATCATCACAGAAGTTGGGCCAACTCTATGGCAACCGATGATTCAGATGATTTGGATTTTGCAACAAGTGATTCCTCAGAGCAAGACATGCTATCGCAGTACAATCTTCCGAAAAGCAATAGCAATGCTGTCAATGGTGGATCAAAGATCAAGCGGCCTCAGTCAGGTCCAGTGAAGAGTTCCCAGACAAGGTAATCCTGTAGCCATAAATTTGCGCACAATTTTTCTTGAACATAAAGACTGGCTGGCCTTCTATTTGATCCCCTAACAAATATAAATAGGATCAAAGCTCATCTTTGATTTGAACACTTGAGAAAATATGTTTCTAACCCTTTCTTCATCTGAATTCATCTGAATTCAGGACACCAAGCCGAACACAGATGCCATCTCCATCGAGTAAGCTATCAAATACACCAGGCCAAACGGTAAACCGCTCCAACAGACAGTTACTCTCTGGCAGCGCCGACGGAAAACGAAGGCCTATTGGGAAAAGTGGAAAGTAGAGTGATAGACGAAGAATGGCTGGAGATTTCTTGGTTTGTAATTACAAAAGGAATGAAAGCTGTTTCTTTTGTGAAAAAAGATACAATCAAGATGTATACTCTGCTTCTTTTGTGAATGTGTTTATTGATGATGATAGCTTCATGATCTGTATAGTAAGTTATCGGGTTCGTCCTTCCTGGCATGATTCTCTAACTTGAGCATCAAGAGGATTAAGGGAGTTGATGGTCAACTCTCTACACTCTTTCATTCTCTAACTTGAGCATCAAGAGGATCAAGAGAGTCGATGGTCAACTCCCGACACTCCTCTCTCTGAACCCCAACACGAGGACGAGGCATGAGTAAGATCCCTCGACGAGCTGTGGTTGGATCGAAAGAGCCACAAAACTTCAAAACAGACCTGGTCACCATTACAAGCCCTATTAGACCAACTTCCCATGGCTGTGTAGATAGGACAAGTGCAAAATAAAAGGCTGAGAGCAGCAATCATTATAAGGATATGATTGCTGATACCTACTCCACCACCATGCCTCTTTGACAAAATCAGCAGCATTATACAACAATTCATTATTCATCAAGTTGCAGGTTGTCTCATTATCAATGTTCCATTACAATCACATACAAGTAGGATGTCCATGGAGCATCTAGATATCTTTTTGTTGGAGTATGTGTAATAAAGATCATGCATCCAACTACATCAATAAAGATCAAAAGGTCATTAGTTAAGAAGAAGAAGTTCAGATCTAGGAGAACAACAGTTTCCAAAAGATAAGAAAAAGTTCTAAAGCAAAAGCCACCAATGATGAGCTATGTTTGATCATTGGCTGCAAAAGCAAATGAAGACCTCACTTTGGTTCAAGCATAGGAGCACCAACACACTTTGAAGTGGAGACTACATCATAATCATGTGCTGCACTCTTTGTTTCAGCAATCAAAACATCCCAAGCTGTATAAGAAACTACAAACTGTAGGGCTTTTCTTGCCAGGGTTTGAGCTCACTCTTCCCAAGTGTCTGAAAGAAGCACAAAGTTGGTTTTGATTCTTCTTTTGCTCATATAAATCTATATCTGTTGGCTTTCTCCTTTTCCAGCAATCATACTGCAGTGGTGGAGCTCATCATGGTAGGGTAGTGCACACAACTTACAACACAAGCAGGTAGCCCAAAGAGGAGACACCAGACAGTCACTGCAATAAAAGGGTATTCTAACTCCCACTTTGATCTGGGAACCAGCTTTCTCATTTTAATACCATGAACACATATGGAATACAAACTAGTAATCGTGATTAAATAGAGTAATGACATATTACAGTATCAATCAAACATTTGAACTTCGACAACTAGCAAAAATTTTTCTTACAGGCTTTGAATGAAGAAATCTAGCTGTACAAGCAAACACATTGTCATCGCTGATGCAGATTTTCTTCTCGATCGGGGGTGGTGCAATACAACTGAGGAAAGAAGTATGCAATGATTCGATCATGGAGGAAAAGATACTTTTGTGGGGATTTATTGGAAAGAATTTGGCAAGGATATTGGTGAGCTCAGGATTCTCGATTGTACAGAGGGGAATAAATGAATGATAATCACATGCAAAAAGATTTTGCTAGACTTGCGCGAGACCACTGAAGTTCTCAAGGGAGAAGCAGAAGAGAGATGAATTCAAGCTCAGATCAGAGCATGGTTGGGGAAAGACTGATTCCGAGAATCCAGAGACATTGGAACAAGTCCAAGAATTAGAGAGGTCTGAGGTGATAGACAAACTAATGTTGGCAAGACAGATGGCAGTGAAGGGATCTTGATCAATTCCTGAGAGGACTCCAGCACGGGAGATGTTGGTTCCAATCACATTTTTTATGGTCACCTGCTTGATTGTCGGCAGAGCATCCGGATCATATTGGTCATCAGGATGTGCCCCACATTGACCCGTGAAACGAAATGCTTCATGAACATTTTCCATTTCCACATCTGAAATGACGATATCCTTAATGAAGCCGCCTCGTCCCCGAGTGGTCTTGAATATTATGCCAGTGAAAGAATCATGGACATGAAGGTGCTTAACATGTATATCTGAGATACCACCGGACATCTCACTGCCAAAAGCAAGTGCCGAACCAAGAGATGTCTGCAGATGGACATTATTGATCTGAATATTTGAGGAAGGCCTGCCGAAAGAGATACCATAGTTGTCCCAACCACTCTTGACAGCAATGGCATCATGTCCAACACTGATGCTGCAATCTTCGATGCAGAAACTTGAGCATGAATCTGAGTCAAGCAGAAAATTTAGATGAAGATTTGGAATGATAGTTGTTGCCCCTAATTTTATGTCATTATCATGGACCAGGACCAAGCTTTTGCTTATTTGCTTTAGGACAGCGTAGAATAAAAATAATTACCATAAAACAATAATAGAAACTGTAGGAACATATCTGAATCTTTATAACGGAACTTGAATCAGATCATTCAAGAAATTTTGTGTGCTAAAAGCAACGATAAAACAGGGAGGAAATCATAAAAACACTACATTTTGACTCTTACCTGGTACTACACCATTTGTATATGGGGAATCAGATGAAGCCTGAATAACTATATTCTGGACAGTTACATTGCTGCATCACAGAGGGAAAAAAAAAAGATATTTGCAGTTGTCCAAATTCTCAATATTTCTTCACAAGACTAAACAAATAGTTTTAGCACGCACCTGGAATAGACTGGATGGATACTCCATGCTGGGGGATTCAAGAAAGTTAAATTTGAAATCACAATGTCACAAGAACTCACAAACTCAAGAAGATGAGGACGGCTGTAGTTCAAGGTGTGGGTACGAAACCACTCCCACCAGACAGATCCCTGCCCGTCAATAATCCCATTATTTCCTGTTCCACAAACCAATCTCAGCATGGTATACAAAGAAATGCTATGGAACTTGCAATCATAGAAAGAGCATGAAATCGATCTGCCGAAATGTTAAAGAAGCATGCCTGTTATCACTACATCCGTCAAGTTGTATCCGTTTATCAAGCTGCGATGCCTTTCACCCGGAAGGTCTATCCCTTGACCATAAGAGGGCAAAGGCTCGACAGTAGGCCATTGAGATGCATCCTAAAATAAAGAAAAAGAAGGGGTTATTAGTTTTCTAACCGTAGCAAGTAGAAAATTTTCAGCATTAATAAAAGAAACTTGGACTTCTCATTCCATTCCATCTAATCTTCTCATGGGTATCAACAATTTGAAAACTCCACAGAAGAAATTGTGTAATTTCTAAAACATTGAATGACAGCTAACTTAATTTAATGTTCACCGATCGTTTTCAAAATCCAGCCCCATTATAATTTCTTTATCTGATAATAAATAGATGTAGTACAGCAGTTCATGATAGACATTAATAAACATGAAGACATATGGGCTTATGTACTATGATCAAGACCTGACTGCCAATTATAACTGCATCTTCATCCAGGAACAAAGTGAGATGACTGGTAAGATTGAAACTTCCTGTCAGCCATCTCCCCTTAGGAACATACAGCTGAGCACCACCCTTGTCGGCGAACGACCGCACATAGAAAACAGCATTTTGAAAGGCAACTGTATTCAAGGTGACTCCATCCCCCACAGCCCCAAACTCTGTAATGGTGACACTGTGTGGTCTTGGTGTCAAGCCATTCTTGAGTTTACAATACCCATCACCCCTTTCCTCGACTTCGACAGCAACTGCAACCGCTAAAAGTAAAAGCACGACGACCTGCAGAGAACAGGCAATATAATAACACAGGTGATTAGCACTTGACATAGCTTCATCGGTATCCACATTGCTTCCACATCGACCTAAAGGCCAAACAGAAAACGGAAGCTTGTATCGAAGCCCACATCAAATGTTCCCTTCACTTGGAACCTCCAATGCTGATTAGGTGGAATGGGGAAAATGGAAGCTTTTCTGGCAATGAATTAAGGGAAATCCGTTCCAAAATATCGATCATGCAGACATCTAAGATCTCTTATGCTAAAATTACCAACACAAGACTTTAAACGTTTCCTGATTGACATCAGACCTAACAAATAAAATCGATGGGTATAACAATGACAAATGTCATCGTAAAGATCACACCACTGCATTTCCTTAAATTAACACCAAATCCTATTCTGAATCAAATGATACACAACCATTAACCTAAAGTGATACCCAACAATAGCAAACACGTAAAAGAACTAAAAAAGGGGAAACATAAATGATCAAAATGGATCTCTAATTAAAACAAGGGGGCCGATGCGCACATCTATATGAATCGATGATCACATCGCCAGTGGCAAATGGACAAGTGGTCGAACCGAATCAGAGTTCCAACAACCAATTATAAATAGAACCGTGTTCAGAAAACACTTTTAATTGGGTCGAATCTCCACAACCCAGATCGCACAAGGAAGAACATCCGACAAAAGCATAGCAAACGACACCCAACAGAAAAACAAAAAAAAACAAAAAAAAGAGGAACTCGGAAACGAACAAGATCAAATTTTTACACGAATCCAATAATCCCAAGTTCTTAAGAAACAAGAAAGGCAGTTCCTTTGACAAACATCACAAGGAAATATACAAGCAAACGTACTTACTAGCCTCTTCATGAGCCCCTCGGAAGAAGGGGCGACGAAAAGCGGAGCAGGGAATTCCCAGGCGAATAGGACTGGGGAATACAAGACGTAGCAGGAGGAGAACGAGGCAGGAGAACGACCGCGGAAGAAGAGAGAGGAGAGGAGGAAACGAGGAGGAAGAGGAGAAGCACAAAAACCAGACGCTGTCCTGTTTATACTAGGAAAAAAACAATAATAGTAA